AATCCCGATAGAAGGAGGCCGGATTTATAGGATCATTGTTAAATGAGCTTCGAAGCGGTTCGGACGACAAGACGTTGAGCTTGGCTTGAGTTGACTCTGAGTTTAGTTGATGTGAACAATTGACTGTGCAATATATACAAACATTTACTTAAAGACTACTTGACTAATTTTTCAGCTCACCGCGAAAAAGCGGAGAGTCAGTTAAAAACAAGTTGTTAAACAGTCACGAATGTGGAGGCCAAATGATGTGCGAAACGGCCATCAGCACATATGAAAGGAATATTGGTTAAGCACGAAAATAAAATTACTGTTTGCATATATGAATGCGCATATGAATCACAATAAACATTGCACGAAATCTCATGCTTGTCACCTTCAGACGGGATAAAAAATATCGAAGTAAATGAGAACTACTTGTTCATCTTAATCAGCAGCATCCGCTGTGGTGTGTCCAATTCCCTTTATTGTACTCTCGCATTCTGTGTCGGTGTGTTGGCTACCCGCAGTAAGATGAAAGTTCTTTATGCACGTATGATAGCATACCGCAACTCAGTTGATCCTCATCGATATGCAAAATATCTTATTTACTTTTTAATATTTATTCATTAATCGCCAAAAATTACCTGATTGTGATCGGTTAAAATGTAATTCTATAAATTCATCGAATTGTTCAACTACGGAATCAAGATGACAATGAGTATAATATTCAAAGGCAGAAAATTGACAAATATTTTTTTGTTTGATTATCTATATAGTTGGAAGAATATTCTTTTGACGGCAACTTTTTGGCGACGTGAGAGTTATCTCGCGGTGAAATGGAAAACGGTAGATGTGATGGGAGTAGTGGTACAGATCGAAAAACGTTGAACAATCAACTATCCCAATCGGGGATGGTTAAATGAAGTTCACAACGGCTGAAAACAGATCCATGACTATCGCAAACATAACCAGCGAGACACGATTCTGGTGTTTTCGAGGAAGAGAGACAGAGAGAGAGAGCGTGCGAAAAAACAACGCTTATCTCCCACTCTCAGAATACCCAGACGAAAACAGGTTGACTGGAGACTTTAAGAAAAACTGAGGAAACATGTGACCTGTGATTTACACGACAAAAGCCTAATCAGAAAGCCGATGCACCTGAAGAGCGGGGATGGAATAGTTGTTTAATTTTGATTTGATTTGATTTGATTCGATTTATTCAGCGTGTCTTCCTTGTTCGACGCGATCGAACCTCGCCGGTTGCACGGTTAGCCGTACTGTGATCTGGATGGAGTCCACTCGCCCATTTATGCTTATATCCTGGTAATCCATTTGTCTTTCTCTCTCTCTCGATCTCATTCCGGTCTAATCCAATGAAATAACGCAACCTCAGTGCCTACACCTAGTCTGCGTGGAAACACTTTGGGAGAATAGGTGAAGAAAAAAACTGCATTTATTAAAGCGTGAAACTACTACTATTCACACACTTAAAAGACGTCAAAGAACGAAGTCAGCCGTCGCTCTAAGTGTATAGCTGTTTACATTGAGCTGCTTCTGCTGTCTGAGTGACATTCACGCGATTGACTAAAGGTACGCACGCACGCATGCAGGCGCGCACACACACATGCACAAACACTAACACTTTCTTACCTGTCTAGCCCCAGGAACACCTCATCTCTCCTGTGTTTGATTGACAGCATCTCTCTCAGATGTCTATTTTGCAGGCGCATTACAACTTTGTCTGGATTCTGACCTCGAACAGGCGGGGGGAGGGGGGAGAGAATGTTTACTGAAAGCAAGGCGTCCCCGGAAACCCCAAAACCCGCCCGTTTCATTCATCGTGACCTGACTGAGTGAAAACGCCAGTATTGTTTACTGAGGTCACTCAAACAAACAGAGAGACGGATAGACACATCCCAGAGCCGTATTTCATCCGTATGGTGTTTTCCAACTTTGACGGATAACTGAATCAGTTCAATGACGAGCGATTCAGGGGCATAGTTCAGATGCATTCCAACAATATACATTCCTTATTTGATGCAGTTTGGATTGACATACGTTTCTTTTTCTAGGTTACAAAGCATGTCTGTATATATCCGGCAAATTCTTCGTGAAATACTTTACGCTTCAACTGTTCTCTGAAGCAAACTCAATCCAAACTGGGATCTTTCATCGTTTCCGTATTAAACATCCCATCTGACTGCTGTTTTTATTGTTACTTGTGTAGATGGTCAAGCAGTTTTGACAATCGGTACCCGTGGTCCGCTGTTAGTGTGCTTGAGTTCTGACCACAGTAACTAAGTTTGACCCTTGTTTCTACCGCGCAATGACCGTTTGATGGATCACTTCGTAATTGTGAAAATTTGTCTAACCTTTTGTATATTGGGCAGTTCATAGGAATACTCTCACTAATTGCAATTATAAATTTACAATAACTTAACTGTTATTTTAGAATGCTTTGTTTTACAAATCTACGATGCGCGATCGATATCTCCGTTTTGAACCTTGATCGATCACAAACCAGCATGTAACTCTAAATGTAGCCAAGTAAAGAATCAGAAACTCTGGGACAGTTGTGATCAAACTTGATAAAAGATATCGCTTAACAATGACGATGACTGACACTGATATCCCGTCCTGGTTTGTGACATTGCTCACAATGAAATGGCATCATCCTCCACATTAGCTACTTTGTACACAAAATTCATAACCAATCAGTTATCAAGATCGAAAGAAGACATGTCGCCAGATGTTCAAATTTAATTTAATTTTCTCAGTCGCTTACTGAAAACAAACGGGTACATATAAAGCACATGGGATTAATCAATTTTGGTGAACGAGCGTGTACAAGTATGCAAAGATTACTAAATTTAAAATTAAAATGTTCGTCAATGGCTTGTGGTTTGTGATTGTTTTTGGTGTGTGGTTGGGAAAAGGGTGGGACGGGGAGATGTGATCGTAACACGGTTAGGAAAAACAATTAGGATGTGGACGTGTGTGGTGATCCAGACTCCCATGACCACAATTCATGCCCGACCAGGTACAGTTTCATGTGATCCAATCACCGTTCAGGAAGCTCGACCAATGGTACACCGGGCGAACATGATATCCGAGTTAGCACATATGATACGTCGCTGCAAACGGTTACGTGATTAGAGGATGCTCGTTCAATCAATGATATGGACTATTACATTCTATAAAACATTATCTAATTCCATTAATAAACGTAAGCATTTGCTGCTACCCATTGCTCGTGTATTTCATTGGTGTCCGCAGTTCTGAGCAGTACGGTACGGGTCCTCGTATTCCTAAATTCAATACTATTCCGATAACCACAACGTGTCATCACGCTTTAAGGGCGCGGGGTCATGAGAAAGGTCATATGTCTATCTCGGGAGTGTGTCACGTTGTGACCAAGGCAGTCTGAGTGATTGTACGAATCGTTTTGAGAACGAAGCGATCGGTTTATTACTCGACTGGCCACGGCTTCGGCTGTTGCGAGATGACGTTGACGGGCGGCTTTCGAGGGGTTTAGCGGCATCTTATAGATGATTCGACATGCGTCATCGTCAACCTGATGCTCGGTATCGGCAAGATGTGCTACGATTGCACTTGAAATCGTTTGTTTATGCCTGAAAGCAACCAGACCGGTTTGTGTTCCCTGATTCTTTGGGACACTTGCCTGGTGGTTCTGTAGTGGAAAAGATACTACATATACGAATATAAATGAAATAAACGGTACAAGGAACGGACTCACAGACGAATGGTCCGGCTGGTTGATCGATCCTGTACTTCAGATGTGTGGCCCCGGTCGATGAGGTGCAGTGGAGTTGAAATGGATGACTGCGACAGTTAATGGACCGCTTGACGATAACTAATAATGATTGCGTAATACTTCAGCAACACTCAGAGAACACGTGCGTAGTTACGAACGGAATTTGTGTTGTCTTAGGTGTTGTGCATATTAGAACAAGCAGTACAATCATGTCAGATAAAAGTGGATAGAAAAGTAAGACACTACAGTACTGCCTATATATCTTGCCGAACCTGAGCAAAGAGGAGAATAGATGATCATGAATGAGGCATGGACAGGCGATTTATCTTTAAGATTCACGGACATCACCGGTTTGCCTACGAAAAGGGTGCGTAGTTTGGCGGCAGGAAAAGTTCGGGAGATTACTCTTTCTAACCGTCGTGTCACTAATTCACGATTATAATCTCCCTTGAATGGGAGTCTCATATATGGTTCTTTTCTCCCTACCGTCATTATTAGCTCTGTTTGAGGTTTCTCGATTAAGCTATTTTCAATAAAACGCTCTGGATAGCCATTACTCAGATTTTCTTGAGAGTTTCTAATTCTTGGTCAGTACTGTCGTGCGAGCAAATTCGTCTTGCGCGTTCTGCGAGGCACTGAACTAAGTTCCGTTTACGCTTAATTGGCACGAAACTTGAAAAATATTATATTGACCGGTTCATGTTGGTTTTCGATAAACCGATCGCCTCAAACTGCCGTCGTGAAGTCTTGTTAGGTTTACATCGAGGAATTGAAATGCACCTTCCGTTTCTAGTTCTGACGTATAATGGAACTTTGTTGAAAATTGCTGTTAGCCTTTCCAGTGAAATTTTATTATTCATCAGGACGAAAATGTCGTCTACATATCGGCATTACAGTGGTGAGGAGGTAATCTGTGGTGATCGTGCAACGAATACTCACGCACCGCGGTACAGCTTCCGGCTAACCAATCAAGAATAGAATAACCGACCAATCCTGTGGTCCCGATTGGCATCAACCAGATTGGCCGAATACATGAAGGTATAATAATAAACCACATTGTCGCCGATTGGACGTCCAGGAACCGACCAATAACTGTTGGTCGCATGTGATATATATTTGCGTGCTTTTCTCAATAGAATCATCTGTATCCACAGCTCGTCTTGGTTTTACCTTGCGTTGCGTAATTCAGTGGATTTTCAGTCCGAGTTCAAGTTCGCGCTGTTCAATTCCGGTTCATATTCGATTATTACATAATCGTATCACGGAGCTCCTGATTTTCCAGTTTTGCGATGAAAACATCTGCCAACAAGGGTCCAAATGGAGAACCCATAGCTATTCCATCAGTTTGTCTGTAGAAAAGTCCATCGAATAAAAATTGTACATTAAATGTGCACCTTAATAATAGCTCTGTTAGGTTGATTACGGGGATGCCAATGTTTAGATCATTTGTTGTGATGTTGTCGCATAAATACTCGATACATTCTAGTATAGGAATATTTGTTAATAGTGACGTTACGTCTAGAGAACCCATGGTCAAATCGTTTGTGTTTTGTTCCTTTACAAAATCCACAAATTCGAAGATATCTTTCAGGCTGTGATGAGCAGTATTTCGACGAACAGGTTCTAGTGATTCTGCTAGCCATCGAGCGGCGTGGTGATACGGGGACGCACTCATATCCAGTATTGATCCCAATGGGGTGTCACGTTTATGCACTTTGGGTAGACCATAGACGCGAGGAATGGAGGTGCCAGTGGGTCTTAGTTTCTCGTAAATAGACTTTGAAATTAAATTCTGGTCTCGAAGATTTTTCAGAGATGAGGTGATTTGTTCTTCTGTTAATTTAGTTTTGTGCTTTTCCCCGTTCATTTTTAGGAATTTTGATCGATCTCCCAAGATGTTCTTCATTTCAATTCACATAATTTTAATTTGCCTATAACCGTATTAGCCCGAGGAAGAAGTCGAAAACGAGCTTGTTCACGTTTTCTCTCCATGCTGAGATGGGAATTTTCCATAATTACTAAATTTATAAGCGGAAGGTCAAATCCACGGGAAGTGGATTGATTGTATCAAAAACGTTTTTGCGCACAAGAGCGGGTGATGTAATCGAATAAACGATGCTTCACTAATCGCCAAAAGTTTACCACTGTGATTGCTTAATAGAGGTTTAAAAGACGAATTGGGGTTAATTGTGCGTCATGATGCCATGAAACGCGACAGATAACCCTGGATTTCTTGTAATCCCTTGGCCATCAGTTATCGGTTGCGCCATGGATTTCGCTAATCACTTTGTAATATGTTTGGCCAACCGTTACGAGAGCTGGTGGTTTGTTTTACCTATGTATGCGTCACCGCAACTGAACTGGTATGCTGTGTGTGAGCTGGAACCGGTTTTGCAGCCATGTTTACGTTAGGAAGTCAGTCCTACTTTCATTAAGTTGCCCAAAACTGTTTTCCCTCCACAGAAAATGTTGTATCTAAAAATATAGGAAATCTAGGGTTTTCCAGACCACAAAAATTGTCCGAACCACGAAGCGATCAATAATACATCCATACCGAAATAACCGGTTAGACGAGAATTCCATAGAGTGCAATTAGAAGCGCTAAATTTCTGTTGAGATTCGAAATGAGGTTGCAACGAATGAGAATTTCCATCATTGGGGGAGGTCCACGTCAATTGCAATCTAGCGTGATAAGAAAAATGCTTTATGCCTATAGAAGCCACACACGTGATGATTTAAATAAAGACTGCTTCTCGTGTGAAAACAAACGACCGGTACAATGAAAAACCTGTGCGAGTAATTCACACTCCGTAAAACCACGTTGTGCACCACCGGGGAATTTTTCGTATAGAACCATGGTGACAAGTTTTATTCCGGAATTTCTATTTAATCGAAATTCGGGTTTTGTGGAGGCGAGGATGCATAAATCTTCGGTTTAGTTTAGTTACATATATTCACGCTTATTGCCGTTACCAATCGCGGAAACATCTCCATGACTCGGCTATAACATTCCACAGGTTTCAGTTGTCACAAGCCAATGATTATTTATTATACTGTGAAATACATTTGCTTTATTCATAGTCCTTCTGGTACACTTCAGTATGTACTATACTATGTCGTCATATATAATGTGGCGGAATAATTGGATCCCATCGCTGGTTAAGAAAATGAATCCCCTAACCAGTTGAACTTCTGCGGAATTCTCCTTTACTAGTTTGAAACGGAGTTAAGAACATCATGCTCTCGTGTATTTCACCCGGGTGCTTTCAAATTATCCGAACCTACCCGTGTGTGTGTGTATGAACTATTGTTATGAGTAGTATGTTCGGGTTGTGCAAAATAAAGTGATTGCCGGTTTCTCCCAACGGTCAAAAATGAACAATACGTTCTGGAGCGAATAACTGACCTGAAAATGGTAACTACGGGAACTGTGCATCTACCGTAGAACTGTTTCATTATTTTACCGGTGTACGTGTGGGAATTCGGAAGACTTGTTCCAAATGAGGCATTTTGTTGTGCGTAGGCCAATTTACTCAAACATTTACATTTATTCATTATAAGCAAAAATCCTCTTGCGGGCACCGCCTTGTGGATTCATAACAATCGGTGTCGTAGCAAGGATCAGAATGAAGGCTACATGGCCTACAGCCTCCGAGGATGGGGACGTGCAGACTTTCCTGGAAGAGTTCGGGGACGACGCGGATATGACTGCGATACAGACGGACCGCAGGAAGTTGGCGGCCCCCTGAGGTCTTCACAAGGGCCGGGTGCGGGCGGTGTTGAATATGGCGCGTAGAGGATTGGAGAATATGGAGAAGGCCACTGCGCAAGACGCCCTGATGTCGAGATTCGACACCCCGACCAGCCGCCAGTGAAACGGTCCGATGGTAGGTGCGCATTTTCCGTAGTAATTCGCTCTAGAATGTATTGCTCATTTTTTGACCGTTGGGAGAAACCGGCAATTACGTTCTTTTGCGTAATCCAAACATACTACTAATACTCATAAATGTATGATCAAAATAAATGTGTATGAAGTATTCAGTCACTTTACTCGTTTCAGCTTTGACATTTTTTAACGTAAGAGAATACAGATGGCCTTGTGGAAAAATCGTACAACTTGCTTTTAAACAAGTATCATTGTTTCATCAATCCAGTTACACACGACTTCGTGATGGTAAGGTTTTAATCTTCGGGTATCCACTTTTGGAGTTCTCGGTGCATTGAGTGAGCACAGTTGACTGATCATGTCTTAGCATATTTAACCATATATGTATATATATATATATATTCAGTCAACCGGCAAAAGCTGTCTTGAAAAATACAAAGTGACCGCAATGTTCAACACAATGATGTCTCTGCTGTCGAATGTGCCCTATGCCTGCAAAAGCTATGAAAAGTGACTTTTCTTATTTTACGAACGGAAGTTGCTAGACCCTATGATACCTCCATTTGTCACTCTCATGACCATCTACAGTTTACCTATAAATCCCCTCTGTTCACACTAGACGTTGTTGTCCATACTGTTCAATCTATTGCATCCGAATCCCACAGTCAGTCCTGTCATCTTTCGTTCATCAATACGTTTTACCCATTCTACTCTATTGCTCTCCTGTAGTGTTTCCCGGTCTTTTAAAACACGACTTCAAAACAATTCGCCGTGGTTTGGTGATAATCGGTCGAGCACCACTAATCCCAATTGATTTATTAATCTCAGATCTCATTGATAGTCACATCAACTCTTGTTTTAAATTTGCTCACATGATTCTAGACGACCCTCTTCATCCATTACACCCTGATCTATCGTCTTGTCGTTTTCATCCGTCCACACGCTCCTCATTTCGACGGCTACCCTCTCGCACTAACATTTATAAAAATTCCCCTGTATCCTACCTGGCCTGACTACTCACCAAAAAGGAACAGGTCTCAAATGAACTACATCAAATGCTTTGCACATGATACGCATATCACCGACCTTTTTTACCTTTTGTTTTTATCATTATTTTTATTTCATTCTGCGTGACAAACAATGTATATTTTCAACTGAAATGTAAGCATATATGCTTACACAAGTTACAAATACAATACAATACAATCCGTCCTAGACAAAGATGAAGGTACCGCTCGTTGGACTTTTCATGATTATGCAAACGCCTTTGGTTCTCTCGACCGAAGAGCGCTTACTGAATACCTTTCCGCGTGTCATATTACACCTGAAGTCTTGTTGTGCTAATCGACTTCTTCTCCCCCCGTACTTCACTGAATGGGGCACTGTCGTCTTCTATTCACACTGAAACTTGTATTTTTCAGGTTGCTACCCGGTTGCATATTTTCTCATTCCAAGTAACTTCATTGCTTGCACATATGCTGATGATATCGTGATTGATTGTCCAGTCCCTCGTCTAAGCAGTTTCCATCCTATCCAAAATAGCCTTAATGAACTTCACAATTGATCTGTGCCCCAATCCCTTGTACTTACCATCAGCAAATGTATTGGTGTACACCCTAAAACCGCCTCCTTATCTTGGATTGAGACGTAGTCTTCCTGATATTGCAGTTAGTAATCAGAGCATCCCCAAATCGATATTTGTTAAGTACCCGGGTATCATCCTCAACCATAACCTGTCCTGATCTGCTCGTGTAGTCAGCATTTTTACAGAAATCGGAACACGGTCTTTTCAGGAAACTTGTCGTCCCACATAATCCCATTCTCTTAAATCTGTGATTGCATGCATCCGTTGACACTGGTTGTACTGCACCCCGTAATATCTGTCTCTAGTTTAAAAGAAAAAGATTTTATCGTGCTTGCAGATCCTTTACAGTTTTGTTCCGATGCAGTGGAGTTGATAGACATTTCGATGCTTGTGATCCTTTTATGGACAGAATAACACGCGATCAAGGAGGGCACTCGCTGAATCGCGAAATCGTGAAAGCCCTGTCGATGCCCGGAACTCCTTTCTGTACGTTCTACGTTCCGATTGTTGCCCGAACGTTGCCCGAACACCGGTTAGTTATAAGACCGTTGTCACTCACCTCAATGAAACATTATGGTGTTAATTTGTTCTTTTTTTTAGTGAATTATGAAATGAATTTTCTATTTTCAAATAGAACAAGGAGTGGCGAACAAGCTCGTTTTCAGTGATTC